TGCAGTTCCTGTTTAGCATCGAAAGGACATCCAGAACATCTTAGAAGTCATTTTGTGGCAAAAAAATGCAAGGTTAAATTTGCAATAAAATTTGTCTGGTAGAAATGGTTATGGTCTTGTGTTTATTAAGCTCCTCTCATTAATTTCCATATTGGTGACTGTCATTTGTTACGTTTGCACTTGCTTTATACTTGAACTTCTTTCCATTTAGTTATATTTTTCAGATTTAGTTTTTTCTATAGGGAAGCAATAAATATGCCTAGTCCCAATTATGGAGTCCTTGAAAGCATCAAGAAGCAAGCGGCAGATGGGTGGCTTTATAGGCCCATGTACTTCCCCTGCAGCTTTACTTGCTTGTGTCTGGTAAGGAATCAAAAGTATATACTCAGTAATGCTGTCTGCAGAAGTAATTGAAAGTATGTATTTAGTGATGATGCCTTGGTATATCATTTCAGATACGCCATTGTTGGCATCAGTACTATAGTGCATTATAGGTATGATCAAACTTATAATTAGAGGGATTATTTCTGGCGGGCTGCATGTCATCTGTCATTTATGAAGCAAATTACATCCGTGCAGCTGTTAAATTAAGAGTATGAAGAGTAAATCGAGTTTGGATAGGGGAGCATTAGATTGATTGCTATTCTGATCCAAACAAGTGAAATTCCATAACTAGCCAGTTGAGATTTTAGCTTTGATTTATTACTTTAACTTTACCAACTCTTAGTATAATAGTATGCATGTTTGAAATATGTCCTAATGTACATTATCTTGTGTATTTACATGCATATGAGATCATATTCTTGCCAGTAAGATTGGATTTCATCATTTTCCTTCTGATAGGTGCAGTTGACTCTTTCTTTCTTTGTTTCTCTATTATTATAGTTTTTGACTTTGTGTTGCATATTTTCATTTTAGAAAGTAGTTACCTAGCATTCCTCACCCCGAAGAAGCTTGTGAACTGGACAAACATGCAGGCTAAAAGGCCTATCGAGTATATGTGCATCACTAGCTTCGATTTTGGTGCCCAATGGCTTACATAAGGTATTATTATCAAGCTCTCATGTCCATATTAACATCACTAGCTTTAGAAAAT